AATCTAATATCATGGCAGTTGAATCGCCTGGCGAATTAATGTTTCTATTAGTTTCTGAAAATTGGTCTAATGCAGGGTCTCTTGTTTTTGAATCACAATGAAAGTGAAAAAAGTGAACACAGTAGTGTGTCACTAATTCAATCAGAATTTTGCCTCTCTTTTAGACCAAAGAGTATTTATTATTGTTTGTGTAATCTATCAAATGTCTTTTTGCAAATAGTCTGGCTCTCGAGGAATGTACAAGTCAACTACCCCTCCTGCACCCCTGTGTTTGTCCCAAAAAACAGTGTTAGACAAGTGTAATGTGGTCAAACCTGCTTTCTGTCAGAGGACGGGAAACCCCACCCACTGCTCTGAAAAGGTTCTCAACTCTAATGTCACAAGTCGGCATTCAAGAAATCATACTGCCAACATCCTCATACAAATGGCAGAGGTTGTATGCTTGTAAAGGCTTTGAGTAGATACCATCTACACACAAATGTTACTGGTATTCAGTAAATACATACACTAAAGGCATCTGACTGATTTTACAGTTGGCACAATTAAACCAAAATAGAGTAAATATCAATGTGCTTCAGAAAATAAATGCATGATCTATTCTATAGTGCAAAAGATGGCTTAAGAGATGGCTTTTTTTTAACTTTGCAACTATGCTGCTCTACTGGTTGAACATGAGGTTTCTCTGTTGTCAGATCCCCACCTGTTTTCATAACTGTGTACTCCACAATAATCAAATTTGTGGTAAGAGACAAAACAGAGTTTGGGTATGCAAATCCTGATTCAGGTAGGGGGTTAATGAAAGAATGGAACGTACAGGAGGGTGTAGACAACTCATCCAAGAACAGTAGACAAAACACCTAAAACACCAACCAAACTCAGCTTAAGGCTACCGATGATACCAGAAGTCTGTGTGAGGTTGAGGCTCCCGTGAAGCTCAAAGGAAGACTCTAAAACCAATCGTAACCTTTCGTGAAGTTGAACAGTCAAACAAGAGATACAAGAACTAAAGCATTATAATTGTAAAGAGTGCATGCTTTGATAGTTGTCATTTGGAAAGAAAATCTGAAAAGCCACGCAGTGAGCTTTAGTGATGGTTTGGCCAGCTGGCCACCTATCAATTTTTGTATCATTTCCACAATGCTGGAATCTCCTTTGAATAATGAATCTAGTGTGGTGCATAATTCTGTTGGCTAGGTATCCTCAGCAGAAAACCAAATTGTTGTGGAGAATTATTCTTTTATATTTTGTTAATTTATTATCATGAATAATCTCGGCACCTGAAAGCTGCCATAAGTTCTTGTTGACATGCAGTTTTCATGTTGTCAAAAACTCGTAGGGCTGTACAGTCCATTAATATTGCATCTAATGTTGATATGCATGGGCTTTAAAGTGGTGCTTTATGTGTTGTCTCAGATAAAAAGAGAAAATTAGATCTTAATGTTCAATTGGCGCTAAGGTTCAAACCTTGGAATCCTGTACAGATGTGATTGCTGATTCAATGGTGCTGGTTTATATAGGAATTCAGCTACATAATCAAGGAGGGTGTCACCCTGAGAGGTGTAGCATGATCATAATTACATGACACAGAGTAGATGAGAAAGGACAACCATAGTTATTGTGGTGATAACTGGAGTATTAATGCTAAAGTTTCAAATAGAGCCCGCGACTTTAGAATTTGGAACAGACTATTAAGTCTAAGTCTAAGTTATGGTTGGTCAACATCCCGATATAGATAGGTCTGTACTAAAACCTAACCCAATGTTTGTACTAAAACCTAACCCTAACCCTGCAAAAATAGAACTGCAGATTTCATTTGATGTATCCCAAAAGTATTTGTTTCGTAGCTCTTATTGTGCTCGGGAACAATCTGTGTGGTATGACAGACTACCACGAGTTAACAAAGGCTCTCACAAAGCCTGATATTTACTCCTTAACTTTGATTTGTCTGGAAAGTTGAACCCATCAGAATGACTGAGTAAACATTGAACAAAAAAGGTATTCAATGCAAATTTTTCTATGAAACAAAGGCTAATACTGTTAAAAAAAGTGTCAGTGACACACGACTTATAAGTGTAGATGTGTAAATGTATACGTGTGACAGGTATATCAGTGTTCCCTTTTCATGTGATTATATTCAGAGGTGGGTTAAGTACCTCAGCACTGAGGAGCAAGTGAACAGAAAAATTAATTCATTTCATACTAAAGAATATCCAGCATTGGTGTTTAATTGGAAATACAAGCCAAAGTCTATGTTTGTTGTGGGATTTAAAATCTGTTTTACCCCGATCAGGACAACACAGTCATTTATTGTGTCAATAGACAGAGACAGACAGGAAGATTCAATGTTGAAGGAACAGTAGGAATATAACAAATTTACAGAGAAAAAAGCTCAGAAACTACATTTTCGGTACATGTGGAATAATACTTTTTTGCCTAAAATGTCAGTCAAACCGTTGTTGACTTTTTTCTAATAAAACTCATACCCCAAGTGTACATTTTTAGGCTCCACCTGCGTGTCAAGCTCCAGCTACCACTAAAAAGTCTTGGTATTGGACATAATAAAGTGCATTTCGTGCCTTTTTAGTGGCGCACCTTTACTAAGATTGTAAAGAATGCTGAAATTTGACTTTCTTGAAAAAGATCTCAATGCAGCCAAACGGGTTTCGCAAGTTTTAAATGTTTAAAGGTAGAACTGAACGAAATGTACAAAAGAAGCCTAAAATTATTCAAAATGGCTTTGAACCTCCAATATGTACTAGGCTGTCATATTCCTAAAAATAAAAAAACCTGTTGGCCACACCCATGACAAACTCAGAAGTTCTTTTCATCTCAACTGCACCCTTTTCAAGTTTTGTGGATCTACCTTGACAGCTGGCTCTGCCATTGACAGTAAAAGTCTTGCGTACAATAGATGTTTTCAGCAAACCTTTTCACATGATGACACTGGAAGGAAGAGAATAGTACCATCCATGCTATCTCTGGTGGTAACAAAAAAGAGGGTTAGGCTTAATCCCAATTCTAGAAAAAACCTTTCTGTTAAAACAATCCAAGTGTTTTGTTGTTTTAATTTTTTCCTTTTTTTTCTCCTGAATTAATTTGGGTTTTCCTAACTCCATGGCACTCAAGAAAAAAGCACTGTTTCAAGAGGTTCTCCTTTAATGGTGCATTACATTATGTTAGGCATCACAAGTAAATGTGTGCTTACTGTATTTTGCATCTCAATAATTTTCCTAAGTGTGTGTGATATAACAGCAGTCTTAAATGTAAAAGGGGTTTGTCTTCCACTAAGTACATATAGTGGTGTATTGTATTTTACTATATCCACATAGTTTGTTTAGCTGAATTCATATTTTGAAATGGATCAAGCTCATTTCTCATACTCTCTGTACCATGCTTAAGACCTTTTTCAGCTAGGGCTGCCACAATTAGGAGAAAAGTCCTGGAAGTCTTGGGAAAATTTCCTTTCTTTTTTTCCTCCCACTGTACTTGGCTAAAAGTTATGCTCAGTGCAAGGAGTACTCTATGTTCATCTTTGGAAATTGTGACCAGCAGTTTAATCTGTATTTCATCAGACACGTTTCCTGTCAACTGCAACTGCTCTGTTCAGACACCTTTACCATAGATGTTCTGATTGGTGAAGTGCCACATTAAGGTCTGTCCTTGTGTGAGTAATTGTGGCTTAACCAGTCAGGTCTGGATTTGTAATTAACCATTTTGTCTTTGGTAATGTTTCTAGGTAAAGCCCAAATGTCCATTGTTTGTATCTTTCCTCAGTTTATATTAATTTCACACATCTGTGGCCATGACACAGTCATGCCTCTCAAGTGCACAGGAGAAAGTCCCACCATCCATTCATTTCTTTTTATACTGCTTATGCCTAGTGGGGTCGCAGTCCATCACAAACTTTTTCAATAAGTCAAATGATATGAAAAACAACAGTTTTAAACACTCAAAATATTTGAATGAATGAATGAATGAATGAATGAAGACCATTGTCTAACATTTTGGTTGCCCTGAATAAGGAAGTTGAATGAACACAATTTTTGCAGATAGTTGCAGGTTACCTGATCAGTTTGGCATCTTTTTTTATTTATTACCACCAGATCTAATCTGATTCAGCTTTCCTTTAATGTGAGTGAATACTTTCTCTGTATGCTTTTCAAACCACCCAAAAACTAATATCAAGAGTTTACAGATTTGAACTTCTCTAGAAATTCAGAAATAATTCATGTAATGTTATATGTAAAACCGACTTCATTGCATAATGTGTAGAGGATGCATGGCTGTGTGTGTTGCATAATTTGTTAGGTTATTATAGAACATGTTTCATGGTGATCACAATGATGCCCTTTTTTAAGTATATTATCTCTAGCTTTTGTTCTGGGCTGAACCCTGCATTCTTTTTGAAAGCATCTCTGAACAATGTGTTTTCTATTGTTAAACAAACTTGTCAAAACAGATTGCACACAAACCACTAAAGCTCTTGAACTGAGGGTGGTGGCTACAATGTTGTGTCTATGCTGTGGCATCTCTCTATGTCATAGAAGCTCGCCCAGCCTTAAGGACGACTTAAACCCTAAAGAGAGCATACAGATGGAACAAAAAAACCCCAAAAAACAGCTTAGAGGAAAGGCAGATATTGGTGATCAATGACACCACAGATACATTTATAGGTAATCTAATTTCATTTTGTGTTAATTACTTCAACAAGAATAATATTAAGATTGTTTGAATACACCAACTGACTGGAGGTTTTTAAATAATCTATGAATGCAACGCGACAGCTGTGACACTAAGATTTGATCTCTCCTGTTTTATTTCTAGGTGAATTTCTTCTGATTTTGAGTCAGTGGCAGAAATGACCATCTCTGATCACTCACCAGTTGACCATGCTGAACAATGAGCTCCATTTTTTCTAATAACATGACACCATCCTAACATATTCAACGAGAAGTCACATTTCATTTTCATTACGTACACTCAAAGTTGTGGCTTGTCATAATCACAGTGTGTCATTGTCATTGTTGATATTATTATAGTCTTATTAGGTTTAATATTAGGATCATGATTATGATTATTACAAAGTAACAATGTATCCATTGTAATATGTTTATTTGATTCATGTTGATGTGTTAAGCGCGCGGACAAGGTGCATTACAAAGCAAGTTTATACTACACCCATTTTTGGGAGTGCCCTGTCGTCACTACTGGACACCGATCCAAGTCATCTACATAATACTGTCTCATGACCCGAGGTGTTTTCACACAATGAGTCTGTCTGTTTCACATCACATCCTTGTTTTGATAGTAGTCTCATTGTTCCTGATCATACTGGCAAATGTATTTACACACCACTAACTCATGACCAAGCCTTCTGCCAAATGATTGGTTTCAGGAAACAATCATAAATAAATTCAGATTTTTTAGGACACTTAAGCAATCCATGTCTCTCCACCCTGAGTCACTGGCCAAATGCAAAAAAGGCTAAACATTGTAATATTGTGAGCACAAGACACACAACAAAGACAGAAAAAGACTATTAAATCTGAGAGATATCTGAAGAATTGTGAAGTGACATTCCATTTCCATTGTATGTAATCAAAAACATTCTTTGAAGGACTACTGACAGGAACACACACAATGCGCATAAAATGCGTTGTCACGTCAGCAAGACATGCAACAATCCTTGAATTGTACCACTCCCTTCCTCATTTAGGAACCCAGTACCTGTTCAACAGCACGCAGGAAGTACATGAACAGAGGCAAACAGCCAATCAGCTTCAGTGACCATGTGCATGCTGTAGTGACAGAGCAGAAAAACAACGATAAGAAGTGTAGTAGAAGTAGGACAGCAGTATCTATGACTTGTTGGAATAAATTAAATAAACTTATTTCATTTAACAAAGTTTATTCTGTCAATACAGTAGATGCATGAAAGATATCCACAGGCCAAAAAAAAAAAAAAAAAGACTTATCACACGTCCAAAATCCATAACAGAGATTTCAATGATAAAAAAAAGTGTTAAAAAAGACTCTTTTTTTTTTTAATCAAAACAAAAAAAGCATTAGTTGACGTTGATTTTAGCGAGGTGGAAACCCTCTATGTGGCCCTCCCCTGCCTCTGAACCCCCCTCTGTCCCCTCGGAAATTTGGTCGGTTTCTCTCTCTGCCTCGGTCCCCCCCCCTGCCGGCGTTTGGCCCACCCCGCCCCCCTCTGGATGGTCCGCCACCACGATCCGACTTGAGCTTAACAGGCGACTTGGGCCGCAGCCTCTCTATTTCCTCCGTGCAGCCAGACAGATGGGAGTCCGGAAAAGGAAAATGTGAGGCATAGGTCTCCGGGTTAAAGTTGGTGTTTGTCAGGGTAGGGCCGACTGTCAGCCAGCCTACAGGCGAGAAAAAGGAAGCGCGAGGAAAAACAAAAGCACGAACATGCGGGTCAAAAACAACCACTGACATGGTTCACTTATGCTTTAAAAGGAAAGAGCACACGAATCTCACCTGGTCTGATGGTAGAGTCTCTTCCAAACAGGTGCAGCCTCCTGCGGCCCAAACAGAAATGCTCAATTATGTGGAAGATCTCCACGGGCTTCTCAACATTTCCCATCTCGGGCTCCTCGGTGATGATCAAGTCAATATCCACATTGGCATGGATGAAGTCACCGTCGGTGCTCCTGCGCACCGTTCCCTTGATCCCCATCAGGCAGTGCTCCTGGAAAAAGTGCAGTTTTAAATCACCGTGCATCATGGAATCCTGTTTACACCGTTAGCAGCTTACAATAAATATACACAGAACTGTCACGACAACTTATTTTGCATTAAGACATATGACGCCTGGTAAAGATTGCCATGTGAATATGCCAAATAAACATTCAGCAGTTAAAACTGTATCAGGACAAACTGGATTGAATCAGACTTTTTACAGGACCTAAACAGAACTTGAAACAGTGTCTGTATAGTGTCTTAAATTTCTTTTAAGTGATACTTTATAATAATGTGCTGAAAATAGTAATAAAAACTTTTTTTTAAAGCAGAATGAACAATGCATACAAATGTTTGCTGTTACTCTTTACAAAAACTCTTTACTTTTTACAAAAACACAAACCATGCTGAGTTTTTTTTCACACCAGATTCGTGACCTGGTTAATTTACCGGAGGGCTTAAGTGATACGTCATTCACATTTTCATCTGCTTTAATGCAGATAATTTGTGTGCTTGGCAACACACAAAAAAAAATCTGTCTGAGCTCCGCCTTCAGTGAAACTCAGATACAGGGAAATGACGACCAGGCAGAGCTAGCATGACCAGGAATGAGGAACCTGTTTTTTGCCATCATTTTTCAGATCATTAGAGAGTTAGTGCACATCTTACACAAGATGCCAATCTCCCATCTTATCTGCAGTTGTGTTAGCTAAGACGTAACATTTCTACGAAATATGCAAATAAATACAAAAGTAGTTCAAAGAATAGACAAATGATAGAGAAACCCACAACTTTGACATCTTTTGTGAGGCAATGCAGTGATAACTGAATGTTAGCCAGATTGACTTATTAATAATTTTAAAATACACTTATTAAGGGACTGCATCTCATCCAGGGAAACAAATTCATTTTTATTTTGTTGAGAGTGGACTCCCTCAGGATGTCGACAACCACATGACGACAAATAGGTGGATGAGTTTGACGCAGCATCAATCTAATGCAGTGGGGCCTTTAAAACCACCAAATATCAACCTGGATTAACACCGATAAGAGATTTTAGTCTCACATATGAGCACTCGCCTCCATCATCAAGAAAATATCAAAGCGAACAACAAGCTTTTGGAAAGAAGGCCTTCCATCTTGCCAGTGCATTACCAAACAGCACAGTACCATTAAACAGAATTTTAGGGTGTTTTTTCACATTTTTTCAAACCTACTTATGCTATAATGCTGAGATAGCCCATCAGATTTACATTAATATTAATGTCTGTACAAAACTTTATATTCGTGCTGCCTCTATTTGTTTGTCTGTCTGTGTGTGTGGACACAGTACCTTGGTCCTCTGGAATACAGCTTTTGGATCCAGGGCCTTAGTCTTTCCTGGGTTATTCTTGTTAGTCTTGATCCAGCAGATATCCTCACACCTCCTGAATCCCCACTTCCTCAGACACTAAGATGAGTGAAAGTTATATTTGAAAAAAAAAAAAAAAAACATTTTATTTAAAGCATTTATTAACAAGTGTAAGGTTTCTTTCATATTTTACTTAAATTATCTGCCATAGCTGCATTAATTAAACATTGACACAGGACCGCTGTCAGATGAAAGCTCAAATGATGGAAATCAAAACCAAAATTGACTTTGTTTTACTGATAAATTGAGACAATTGAGACTGATAATGAGACAATCAAGAATGTCTGTTGACCTTTCAGCTGAACTAATGTTACCCTTTAAACTACAGTTGTGGTTTTGCAGTAGTTTGACTGCTAATTACAGTCTCCATAACTTTGTAATTATCTCTGAACAAACAAAGAACGGTCAATAAAGCAGTTGCACGCCACAAAAAAAAAAAACATTCACCAACCTATTTACATTTAATAGTTGTTTTTTGGTGCTTTTAATAAATGTTATTTGGTAAAAGTTTAAAGTATTCAGATCAAGACAAACACTTTTTCTCGTGTTTTTTGCTAAACTTGGTACACTGTCCTCCCACTAAGTTGAACTCATAATCAGCAAGTTATTTTTAAAACCTCTGGGCGAGGCTGTGACTCAGCTTCTGATAATTTCTGGCGTCAGACATGGAGAGATATATGTCACAAACATAAATCTAACCAATGTGCTAAATAGTGAACAGCCTGTTTTGTCCCAACTTATTATCAGAATGACGTTTTCCAGAGATGACAGATTATTTTACCATTCGGCCCAAATCAAGCCCTTCTCCGGAGCCACACCAGAGGAAGACGAAGGACCGGATGGCAGAGATCTCCTCAATTTCCAGCCTCATGATCTAAAACAGTAGCATAGACTAATGAAGAAATGCTGAAAATGGATGCTTCACACACAGTCAAAATACAATTCTCAAATAAGTTCTGGTTTTATCATACATTAATACAAATTATTACGATTTATTTTTTCCCTGATATCAAATTTATGCATGTATTAATAGATTGTATTATCTTTGTTTGTTTTGATGAATATGACCCCTGAGTGAACTTTGTATCTATTCACATGACAGTCCAAAATGCTAGAAGCAAACCATCTAAAAGATAAATGCATACATACATCATCCCAGGTCCAGAAGCGTTCAGTGTGGCTAATGCCCGACTCTCTGTAGTATTCCTCCAGCGGGGGCTCCAGCAGAATCACATCAAACTGAGCCTTCAGTTCTCGCAAGTCAAAGTGCTCTGGATCAGCTTGGAGGTACCTTCATATGGACACATGAGCATCTTAAGCACAGCCAGATCTTCTCAAGATTTTTAGTGCTGGCTGAAAATCAGCGACAATGCTTTATTTTAAGTAATGTTCAACACTCAGTAACATGCATGTACTCTTTAAACATACATGGGAGGGATGTTGGTGGTTGAAATGAGCTCGTCTTTTAGTCTGATCAACTCTCTGAGCTTGGGGTATTCTTCAAATCGGTCGGCCAAGCCTGAAACACAAAGGTAAGAGGCCAAATTTACGTATGTGCACGTGATTAATAACGTTCACAAAAGCAAGCAGACACTCACCAACATCTCTGATGAAGTTCTGCGGCCTGTGTCCCGTGTCCACAAAGTGCTGGCAGTAGTCATTATGAGGGTTCAAACTCTGAGTACCCTGAGGGGGATCAAAGAGGATCAGGAAAGAGGGACAAAGGCTGATTTTAAAAAAACAGACAAGCACATAAATAGCCACACAATTGTGATTGCATCTCTTAAAACCATTACTTTGCACTATATATAGATGCAGAGAGAATGTGCATAAAAGGTTAAGATCATCTCTTCATAAAATCAAAACGATTTCTAGTTCAGTCAGACAATTCATTTAGCTCAACATTTTCCTGTTGAATAGCTGCAGATTAAAAATATATTGACTTCCTTTTAACTAAGTTTTCACTAAATAATTCACCATCATATCTAAAAAGTTTAAACTAAATTTAGATTATTTGCAATGTTAAGGGTCTGCCTCTTATAGAGTCCATGTGTGGCCTTAACACACCTCAACTTTTAGATAATCACATAAGTAGTTAGTGTTTAAGTGACTATCAGCCTCAGGGACAATTAAACTGTAAGCTACATCTTATCATTTGGATGACAATGCCAGCACAATCATCTGACATTTTCGGGACATTCCAGGGACGACGCCCAGGCTTTTTTTGAAAACGGAGTTAACCTGCCAAAGAAAAACCTGTCCTTCAACATTCAGTTCAGCTAAAATTACACCTGCTTATCACACCGACTGAGACACCATCTTCAGCTCTTCATGAGAAGAATGTCTGACAAAGACAAGGCTTCTCTTTTCATTTTGACCTTTTTTTAAAGAGTTTTTCCGTCTGGTAAGGGGTTTTTACGCTGCACGCATCCATGTGCTCACTTCAGACATCTGGAACATTTTGTACATCTGACACTGACAGAATCTTTGTTTACTGACTTTGTGTGCATTAATCAGTCAACGCAAATGACCTGAGATAATCAAATTTTGAGGTCTGTTCATCGGCACATGAGCCGATTCAACGCTCAGTGAATGGGACATAAGGAAAAAAACTTTCAGAGACAGAACTTCCTGCATCTGACCACACAATGCCAGGATCACGAGCTCTTGGCAGTTCACATGTAATGCATTTCCTCATTAACAGGACAAAAGATCCTCTGCAGGTTATGTAAAAGGAAATTGGCAAATAAAAGAACGAAAAACTTTAGGCCATAAACAAAACAATAGCACAGTGAAAATTAATTGGATTTTTAATATTGTGCAAAGACTGCTCAATATTAAAAAGTTGGGTTATGAATTGTTTAACAGGATAGTCTTTTCATCCTGAATAACAATATCTGTCCAGAATTGCATAACTGGTATACTCCAAGTAAATGACAGAAGAAAAGTAAAAGATAAATAAAGACTCATTGTGTAGAAAACAACGTTTTCAAACCTTAAGGAAGGTACTGGAATCTTTATACACTTCCTCATAGGGGTTGCTCTCATCTGGCTGCTGCACTTCCACTTCATCCTAACACAAACAAACAGACAAGCACAAAAAAAAGTATATTTGTGCCTCTAAAGGGACTTTTAACTCAATTGATCATATGATTTTATGAAATATGTAAAAACAAAAAAACAGACACATTTTGATTCTGTACCAGTCATACAAAGACAGTTTGTTTATGGTAGTTTATGCATATATATAAAAGTAACTAAATAAAAGATTACAAAATATTAAGTAGGAAAATGAAAACAATGGCATGTTAATTTCAACTCATTTTCAACATGTTGCTTCACAACTCCACTCAAACTGAATATAATGTTTTTTGTTTTTTTGGGGGGGGGGGGGTTTCAGTGGTTATTAGAAGGAAGTGTTTTGTTTTCTGGAACCTAGTGTGATTAGGTTACTAAATAAATACTGGCATCCTGAGCCTAAACTACATTGTGACATCGAAAACACCTATCTACATACCTTGGGACTTTTCAAAAAAGCCTTCAGGCACCGCACAAAGAATAGCTAAGCATGTACGTCTTTTCTTTTCTTCTCTAATGAGACTGTTTGAAACACCACCACGCCCAGCTGCCAAACGTGTAAGCTTGAAAAAGCACAATACTTGAATACCCGCTCTGTACAAACAGGTGACACACGCATGAGTCACTAAATCTAAGAGCACATTTTATAAACTGGCAGTTTATATGGCCCTACCTATTAAAAATGAAGGTTACATTTTTAACAAAATTAAAACAAATAACTTTTCATGTTCGAAAAAATGTTGAATAGCTTTTTGGATTGCAACTAAATTTGAGTTACTACTCAACTTAAACTCACTAAGTCATCAAGTTATCTTGATCTTGAAATCTTAATATCCAATGTTAACTCACTTATACAGCGCAATCAAGATAAGATGCCAGTTCCTCAGTTTGGCCTCTGGACAGTCTTTGAATCTAGTTATACAAGTATTAGTTATGTGTATTATTAATGCTGATTAAAAAAAAGAATGGCCAGCCAAACAGCAGAGCAAGAGGTTAATAACCATTCCGTAATGATGTGAAGCCAGAAAGTGTCCCTGTAGGTCAAGAAATTCATTATAATGGGAGATCTAGTTTTCAGAGGATGAGCAGAGCTGTCTTCATGGTGAATAAACTGATCATATCCACACAACTGGAAATGCTCAGACTCACTTTTTGTTCTTCCACATCTTCCTCTGTGTCCTCTCCTTCTGTTTGCGGCTTCTTTTTAGAAGGGGGGGCTGTGCTGTCGAACGAAGCTCTGCAAAACCCAAATATCTTTCACTGATACGGATCTTTGTATTCACAGTGCAACACAAAAATCTGCACTCTCCACCAATCACGACTAGATAGCGCTAATCACGACTTAAATAGCATCAGATGTAATGATTGCACCAACTTTTCTAAATTGCATTAAAAACCAACGTGTACTTCTTTCCATTCATCTTACCTGCATGTTTCTCTGGTCTCTTCGATCTCTTTTAGTTCGTCTTTACTGTGAAGAACAGCCCCGATGCTGTCTGCGCTCTCAGCTCCCAGCTGGGGTCACATAAGTAAAGGTGCATGCATACAATGAGCAAATATTTGCTCACATACAAATCACATTGCAATATATGTTATTTCTCTCATCATTTTGTAAGACTGTTTTATTTTCAGGAACTTATTTGCATATGGAGTGAGCCCACTAGTCTTAGAAGCCAATCGAGTGCAAATGTTCGCTAGATGAGTTGAGTTCATCCATTAAAATTTTGCAGTTACCTTAAAGGTAATTTCCATGCAACAAAACGGTTAATCACCCTGCACGTGGCACATTTATGAACATAACTACACTGACTGACTGATTAAATCTATAAATAGCATCATGCTAACAATTTAGGATTGACTGTGTACTTGCCTGTTGAGCTAATAATTGTCTCCTAAGTTTTTGTCTCTCCCGAATTTCTTGCAGCCTGCTGTTCATTTTTTCTAACGGGATGGGAATATCTAAATGATTCAGTTAACGGAACTGTCGCCACACACAAAGATTCTACCAGACTTTTTTAGCGCCAGGCAGCTGCTACCGCCGGCTAAATCAATAGAGCCGCTAAAAATCACAATAGGTGCGCTCTTTTTGTGTATCGTTACAGCTGGGATCTGGACGTGTATTTGTCTCGAGCGCATGCATTTTCGCAGAAGTAATTTGGAACGGAGCTTCAACATCCACGATTACTTTTACTGATCTAAGTGAGTAGGGTAATAGTAATAGGAAGAAACAAAAAATGAAACAAAGGGGAAAAGGTGAATGCACAATAACTCCGCACAACTGGATGACAAGCGGTGTACGCCAGCTTCTTTCCACGAATTACAATGTGAATAGAGTGGCAGCCTGATGATGATGTCATCAGTAGCGACGCTTCTGTATGACGTGATATGTGTGTGTTTGTTTTTGGCCTCATTGGCCAAATTTTATAGTTACGAATGTAAAGTACTGAAAACCAAACGATCGCTACTTAGGAAAATGAGCATTTTATATTTGCACCGGAATCGACTTGAAGCAATAAAAACAGAATTCTGATGTTCCAAGTGTAGCATATAAATATAATTCGAACATGCGCAGCAGTGTCGTGATTTAACATTCCCTGGTGATTGTCAAAGTGTATCTATTCCGGTCCCCGTCGTATTTTTAATGTCGTTTGGCTTCAAAATGAATGTGAATAATGCAAAAAAAAGAAAAGAAAACCAAAAGGAAAAAAGGAATATCTAAATAGCAACACCACCGATTTACGTCAGCGACGTTGTTTATTAAAATCTTGAACACTTATTGACTTTGTTAATCATGTTTTTATTAGACATCCCACAATTTAACCATATGGTCTGCATCCTACCTGATCCAATAAATTTTTTCCATTCCTCCATGAAGCGTTCCAAATGAGCAAACCACAGAGATCAAATAATAACAAACATTTCCCACAAATATAAAACTCTTTTGCACACGTCAAAGCTGCCAGAGCATCTCCCATTTGACACACTTTCTCATATATGCAAATATGAATCAATTCATACCAAGTACTGGAGCGCACATTCTGTAAGACACTTGAGGTCGCTGTGTCTAGGTTTTTGACTCTTCATACAGTCGAACACATTGACAGACACAATGAAAATCATTTGTGCGTCATTAACACAGAACTATGGATGGGTTGATATCAAAATAGTATGTCAAAACAGCCTCAGATGCATGTCCTAGTGAAACTGCAGGCTTAAACTGAATTTGCGCGGAAATTGACCAAAACCATGTTCTCTTGTTCCCAAATAACACAGATCCGGAAGATGTATCACAAACATGGATATGTCTCCAAATCTGTCGAAAAGATCTGTTTTTAACCTACTTATCCATAGAGATATCGAGCAAAACTGGCCCACAACTGCATCGCAATTTGCATTTGTGTTATTAAAGCTACTGAATACATGCATGGATGCACATTAATGTAGCTTATACTTTGTGACATGGCTAAACTAACTTTTAAAATTCTCCCCGTGTTTTTCTTTTTTGTCTTTTTGGTCTAATTATGTGGATAATTGAGTGATGAACCCATTGGTGCCAGGGCCCAAACTTTTGAATCCACTATGTATGATATCATGAGCGCTCGTTCAGATTGTGCATTATATACAATAATAACACCATGAGCAAGTAAGAACATTGGCTTGAAGCATGCAAAAATATAAGTAAAGATGTCCTTCTCTGCATCAAAATATTAAAGATCTAAAAAAAAAAAAAAGTGGGCGCTGAATTGCATGTCTGTTTAAGAGTGTGGTCACTCTATGAGTGCAGTTTGGCTGAGACATTCATACATAAATGTAAGTGAATTTTAGGAGAGCCGCCTGCCCATCAGCCCACGCACGCAGAGCCCCATTGATCCGCGTCCTTTTTCCATTTCATTTCCACCACCGGCCAAGCGATGAGGCTGCCTAGATGACTGCAATCCGCCTTTAACCTAATTGCTTTTCACCGACATCAGCTGCTCGCAGCCGCCATCCGACATGAGCGGGGCATTTCTCTCCTCTTTGGCTGCACTTGTGCTTGCGAGCGGCTGTTCTTCCAGCAGCGTCCCTTCGGTCCTGACGCCCTTCACCGACTGCATCCGAAGCCGTGGGAGAGACGGCTTCTACGGGGGAGCCGTAGACGTCACCGAGTCCGGCACCCGGTGCATGAACTGGACCGATGTGGCCGGATTCAAGGAGCGCCACCCGGGCAAAGGGATAGGGGATCACAATCACTGCCGCAATCCCGACGCCAGGATCCGACCCTGGTGCTTTTTCAGGAACCACAAAGGCAGAATAGACTGGGGGTATTGCGACTGTAAACAAGGTAAACATGCAGGCCTGCCACTATGCCTTTGGAGGAAACATAAATGGAGAATGTCAAAAAATACTATAGAGTGACTAGTAGAAGCTCAAATTCCCAAACAAACGGAGGTCTCATTAAAAATAGAATGCATCTGCAAAAGACAACGGTCTTGGTGTTCCGTTTTGTTATTGATTTGGGCTGATGAGGAGCTCATAAGAGCATGCAGATGTTTTTTCAGGGGCTCTCAACTTCCGAGAGACACACCTAATGTTTCCCAAAAGTCAGACTCAATGTGATGGCAAATACGAAAGTATGCAATAACTACCTGCACAGGTGTTAGGGGTAAAACACACGTTTGGGCTGCAAAAAAAAGAGTCAGCTGATGCCATTTCATTCAAACCGGACGCACATTAAGATTTGCATCTCTGGATGATCGACTTTAGGAGAGTGATGAAAATAATGATAGCATCTGCCAAAAAGATTGCATCCTCTAGTATATTTAGTCTCAACACACGTTGGATGATTTATTCCCGGTTATATTTGAGTGAGTCATTTTTTGTGCTTGGGCTTTTACAGAAAGAGGGCAGGCTGAGTGGGGGCTCTCTAATGCGCGCTCAGATACGGATAGTGTGTGACAGACATCCACCTGCGCATAAAACTATTTATGGGTGTGTGCGTGACAGCATGAGCATGCACTCCGGCATTCTCAGTTGCCTGCCCACCCCACTCCTTATATACCATGGCAGCATAAACAGCATCTACTGTGTTTAAAGAGTATGGGACTATCACAGTTGCTCAGTCAGAGAATCTAACACAGCTGTAGAGTAGGCATGTATGGCTGTGGAGAAGGTTCCCCCCAAAAAAATGTATCATGCTCTTTGGAAAAATTCTATATAGATTATATTAATTTTACACTCTTATGCTTATACTTATGCTACTTTCTTCTTGTTACAACTTCATTTCTTGTAATAGAACAGTTATGTTGTGATTTATTCAAATATATGGTAATTGTGATGAACTGAAAATACATAAACAAAACTTGGTTTGTTCTGTGGTCATCATTTTGGACAGTGATGTGTAGCCTGCCTCAACATTAAAACCAGTCTGCCCTCCCAAACTTATTTTTTAACTTGGAAAATTTTAACTTTTCTTTTTTAAAATCTCAATTTCTTTTTTTGGGGGGGGGGTACATACAGCTGTAAACATCTCCACACACATCTTTTTCTCATTCTAATTGTCTCCAGGCTCAGTGCGCCTGCAGGGAGGCCGTTCCAAGCTGGACGGCAGGGTGGAGGTGTACCTGGGAGGAGTTTGGAGATCTGTGTGCGGCCATGACTGGGGGGACGAAGACGCCGCGGTGGTGTGCAGACAGCTGGGCAACGGGTGAATGAGAAGCACACATGCCTACACATGTGCTCCATGTGCACTATTTCCCCACTCTGCCCTGGCCTCCTCCTCTTCACATACGTTTGCAGACACAGGTGCAAGGGCAGTCGCCATCTGCCACAGGATTTCACTTGCTGGGGCTGTTTACAGAGGTCTGACGAATAAAAGAGTTTGCTGATTACAGGGAAGTGTACGCCACTTCAGACACACGCCGTACTCTTGGCGTTCTCCTTTCTCTGTAAAGTCTTTGAACTTTTCCTTCATGACCCTTGCATTCCAAAACAATCCCTCGAGGTATTTAAATGCCGCTAAAGCTAAGCTATTTACATAGATACTTGCTCCGTCTTTCCCCCACTTGGTCTCTGTTTCACACAAGTGTGCGCAAATGGGTTTCTTTTTTTTTCTCGACTGTGGCATGTAGTCACGGTGGAAGCTCTCTCAAGGGAGCCTGTAGACAGATCATACGTGTCAACAGTGTTCATAAGCCGGGTGTAGTCGGTTAAGACCAAGCTCTGTCTTCCCCAGAGAAAAGAGGGACTGTTTGCACTTACTACACACGTCACCAACGCATGTGCTGGCCCACCTTATGTCCTGAACACACACCTGTTTACACTCAAATCCTACCATGCACATCCACACAGGAGTCAGCAAAAGTCCTCAGAGAAAAGGGAGACATGGCAAATGGTCAGCCGTATGTCAGTTGGAATCCTCACTGATGACTTTCACATGGTTGATTATTGAAAGTTTATATACGTTTGCATATATGTGTTCTTCCTTTTAAAATCTTGAGGGCAGTTATAAACTGAAATTAGTTTTCAATTCTATAAGTAGCTGATGTTCTTTTTGATCTGCTTTTAGTATGTCAGGTCATGCCCGGGCAGTTCCTGTATTTCACCCGGGCATGGCCAAGCTCCATTGGATGGAGGTCCATTGCCAGGGAGAAGAGCCAGATCTGCTCCATTGTCGTAAAACGACTCCTAATGGAAAGACGTGTTCTCTGGCTGCAGCTGTCACCTGCACACAACAGCAAGGTAAGCCAGCCAATAGGGGAATGATCTGAGTTGATGGTATGAGATTAGCACAAGTGTAAGAAATAAGACAAGTCTACTTACTTTCCTCAGTTTAACAGCATTAAAGAAATGTTCTCGATATGTCGTTCAAAATGAAAAAACAAAGCATTCACTGCAGCGGCCATGACGCTTCCTATTCGGCTGGTGGGAGGTCGCTCGGAGTCTGAAGGCACAGTTGAAGTTTTCCATGCAGGGCAGTGGGGTTCCATTTGTGATGACCAATGGGACGACAGTGATGCGGAGGTGGTATGTCGACAGCTAGGGCTGAGGTAAAAAAAGATATACCACACTCATGAAGATATAATATTCTTAATCTTCATATTGCTGATAAAACGGAATTAGAAGAAATTAAATATACTTTCAGAATGAAAAACTGGGGAATGAGCATGACCTAGAAAATAATGAGGCTAAGATAATGTGGGTGTCAAGCCATCTTTTTCTCCCTCTGTCTCTTAAAGTATGACAAGTATTCTTTCCATTCAGACACACAGATGGAAGAGTGAGCAGTAGAGAACATCTGGGGGGTCAAATAGTGAATCAGACTCATTGTTCTTGCATGAATTCTAACACCACAGTGATATGCATATTTAGCAACACTAAACACATTCTCTGGAAAAGTGTCGGCATGTTTGCTCGATCGAGCAGAAAAAGCAGGTCTCTCAGCTGTAAATGTGAAATGCAACATGCCAATTCCAAATGATCCGCAACAGACAAATGCAGAATGCTATACTCTGTTCTTTGTAGTGAGCTAACAGTCATCACATCTGTTTTCCACTGCATTAGTGCGACCAAAAAGCAAACCTTATATTATTCTGTGTACTGTTTTTTTGACTATTTTTCTTCCTTTTTCAGTGGTGTTGCTAGAGCGTGGGGCCAGGCACATTTTGGCAAAAGCTCAGGCCACGTGTGGCTGGACGAGGTGCGGTGCACAGGCAACGAGCTCACTCTGGACCAGTGTCCAAAAAGCGCCTGGGGGGAGCATAACTGTCTCCATACTGAGGATGCAGGAGTTTCCTGTAGCCGTCTTACAGGTAGGCCAGCATTCCTCACGTATGTGCCATAGTGTTTAAGATGGTATGCACTCAGACATTTTAACTTACATCAAGAATTCATGCAGCAAAGACCCATCACCCAGAAATGTTCTTGAGGATGATGGATCGGTTTGTTGGTACGTTCTGGTATGTTGACTTGTCAGACAAAAGGGGAACAGATAAAATGAAAGAGATTTCAATCTTTCTGATGTTCTTTATGTGCTACCACAAGAATGAATGAAATGAAGTTGGTATGAGCAATTTCTTCATAAATGTCTAAATCAAATATTAAAGGATTATCATTTGTAATTGCTTTGATTGCCTTGATGCTCACGTCATGAATCTTTTGTATTCCTGCCCTTACAGGTCAGGAAGTCAGTTTTCAGAAAGTTATGACAAGATGGAAAAAAGAGAATAATGCAAGTAAAGAAATCTTTATTTTATTAGGATTAGGAGAGTCATCTGGCTGAAAAGCTTTACCACCGTTCAACTTAGAGCATAGTTTGAGAGAGGTGAAAATGGAAAACAAGTAAACCAACAGTTATGCAGTAAGACATTTTTTTTTTTTTAAACAATACATTACATAAAAAGAGTGATTTGAATTGTTTATTTGAATGGGTTATTACAATTGTGCTTTGACATTATTTGAAACTATTTAGTTTTTTGTGTTTTTCTATCTGTCTTTTGTGTTTCATATTTTTCTTTTTTATGCACCTGTTGTTTTCAGAAATGTTGAGCAAGTGATGATTTGCTGATATGCTTTTAGAATACTCAGGAGCAGCGTACTGATTAGTCACCAGAGCTTCATACCTGCGAGCCTCTCAGTCCATTAAAAAGAAGAAAAATAGAAAAAATTATTTTAAGTATCCTGATAGGAGCCCTTGTTTTCTCTCTTTTTTGCATTCTGTCTTATTCCCTGCAGACGGTACCATCAGGTTAATTGGGGGTGCTGCAGGTCATGAAGGACGTGTAGAAATCTTCTACAGGGGTCAGTGGGGGACAGTGTGTGACGACGGCTGGACAGACTCCAACACGCAAGTGGTGTGTCGACAGCTTGGTTACAGGTACTGGGGAGTACTCCTGCTCAGTCATGCATGTCCACATGCATTCCCATGAATAACTATTAAAACAATTCAAATAATCAGACCTTGATTGTGAATGTCTGGGTACATAAATGTCTCGCAGAGGAGGAGCAACTGTCCTTTCTGACGGTCCAGACAACAGTCCAGTGCCCCGCTTTGGGATGGGGTCAGGTCCTATTCTCGTGGATGATGTGAGCTGCACAGGAAAAGAACCCAGCCTTTTGTTGTGCAAGAGGAGGGAATGGCTCCGCCATGACTGCACACACAGTGAAGATGTCAACGTTGTGTGCCACCCTGACCGCAGTGGAGGCATTCTTCCTACCAGTAAGATCGCATCTTGTCTTATTTGAAAGCAAATATTAAGGTTAATGTACAACACCTTTATGAATAGTTAGAAATTGGCTCTATCAATGGCTGTGTGTGTCATTGTCAGAAATTGTTGTACTAAGCCCTAAAACCCAAATGAAATCCATCTAAAAGTCCATGGATTTTTGGGATGTTCTCTGTTTATTTGTATATAAAGCAATTGCAGTTGGGGCTAATATTTGTGAATATTTGCCCTTGCATTAGGGAATTGAAGTTAATATTAACTAATATTCTAAATGCAGTTGGGCTGGATACTGACTTTTTTATTTGTTTTTTACAAGAAACATCTGATAGGAGGCACTACTGTCTATACCTGTCGCTGCATTAATATCCTTGTGAAGTCGTGCCAGTGTGTATATTTCTCCTACCTTACTGCACATTCCTTGCGTTTAAGAGTCATGTAGAGAGTTAAAAGGGAACAAATTTGGCTCAGTGTTGGCTATGAATTTAACTTGTAAACTAACTTTCTCAGGCTGTTCTGATTTTTCCGATTGCCCTGATTGTTGTTTTGATTGCCTTGTAGTTACTTAATGAACTCCAGAGGGTATTCATTTAATTAAGTAAAATAACTGTGTCGGGAAGAATCATGGTTCAAAGGACAACGTGAAGTTGAGTAACATGATTGCCCACGAGTAATTATATCTTGCTTGAGGTCAAAAGTGTTGAAAGAAAAAAGGATAGATTACCAAAGACTTTAGATATGTTATATCATATATGTTGTTCTTACTATTAATGTGGTTGAAACATGGGGTAGATTGTACCACTGTCATGTGCACTCATTTCAATTGAAAGTACAGATTAAATCATTTAGGGTCTAAGTTAAGCTCTAACAAGTAGAAAAGACATTTGAGTCTCCATGAGTTTGAATAGTACCATCTGTGGTGTTCAGATGGCATCAAGGAAACCATGTAGAGACACAAGTCTACATGTAAATGGCCACAAAGATTGTTAAAAAACACTGCGAAAAATGATACATCTGAGACTTCTCCCTTGTTCCTTCACTCATGCAGATTTCCCATATCAAAGTCTTCTTTTTACACATCTGTCACCTGCATCGATTCAGTTCACTTCAATCCAAATCTTCACTGGTTATTATTGTAGGATCCTGGATCCAAAGTTGTTTTATGGTCTGGTACAAGAGAACATAAAGCCAGTACTTTAACATCCCTACTCTGGAATTTATGGTGCACCTTTAATGAGGAGTTGACTCATTTTTATTGTTCATATGAGGTCACTTTAAGACCTAGCTGACTTTCTGTCCTGTCATTTTGCTCGGCCTCTCTCTGTCGAAGCCCCTTAGCTTATTTAGTGACTATAAATTATAAGGATTCCAGTCTGACTATTAACTCCAGACTGATAAGCAGTTTAAGTTGTTCAAATATCGTGATATATCATCATATGTAAACTCTTTTTCACAAAAAAAACTATATATAGATGGTGTATATAATATAATAAGAGATTTTTAATAATCTATAGAGATCTGTTAAGAATAACTGAGGATTTCTATTTCTGTTTGCAGCATAAATTCAGGCATTCATCTGTACTTTGCCAGCAGTGTCAAGCAGGAAATGAAATGATGAAAGAGTCTATGTAATTTCCCCTTACCACTTAAAACAGCTAATGGAAAAGCAAGCTGATCTCAAATCTGTTTCTTAGATCTGTGCCAGACTGAATCTGTAGTCGATTACGTCTCATCTGAGAAGAGGTAAGCCAACTTCCAGCAAGAGCCATTATGGAATCCTGCGTCCTATAACAGGCACTGCATTCAGTTACACTGTCCAGTTCCAATAAGTGGTCAGCTCACATAGGCATTGCATTTTAATAAACTTGCTGGATACCTCAACCTAAGTTTTTGTGGTAAAAATATGTAAGGCACCACTGGGTAGATATTGTCATAGTGCCACATAACATAACACCATTCCTTGCGGAACAACTGCACCTCTTTAAGGATCATTCACATATAGCATTGTTAGAACTTGCTGAATGCTTGGGGAATTGCCGGATGGTAGCATCATTACTCATGTCATCGTCAACAGCCTCCAGACACCAATAAAAATGTAGTAAGGCTGAAGATGGATGAGGTAGAGTAGTGGCTCAGATTTCTAACTATATTATCTGTCTTGATGTTGAATGTCCTGTTTACCACTCTGATAAGCCTGTTCAGTGTCACAGAGGCAGACTTCCCTCTGGTTTTGATATCCCTTTTCAAAGCCAACAAGTGTCTTACACCCTCTCTCTGCCTTTTCTTTTATTTTTTTTCACATTTAGGTGTACAGGACAACTAACATGATTAGTTCTTGATGCATACGTGTGAATGTAGGGGATCTTTTGGTAGCCATCATCGTTACATTGAAATTAACGATGACTCTCACTAGAGCAACTTTCATGTGAGGAACATTTAATCCTCAGTATATTTAAATTTTTGGGGCCTCCTATGTTCTACAGATGCACACGTTCTCTCATCCATTCTTTCAACCCATTGTTCTTTCATTGCTTGGGTCAGTTTTACTTCTTTGCTAACTTATTCCTTTCTGTGCAAGCATTCTTTTCTGCAGCTCCAACTGATGGAAGGACCTTCACAGAGCAACAACATTTGAATGGAGTTCAATCATTTCCTGACATGGTCCATGTTTCTTTAAAAAGAAAAGAAAAGAAAAGAAAACAGATATTTTGCCTAATTAACCTTTTGAATTTATACATGTCTGGCAGACACTGGCACTGTTTGCACCACATCAAACTTTATGTGTACATTTAGCACAATAAGACTTTGAAAGGCCAGAAATCTTTTACAAAATAAATTGAAAAAAGGGTTTTGGGCACTTTTAGACATTAAATATAGCGCAGTCAGTTTAATTAGAAGGAGTGTGATAGCTAATAGAGAAATTGTGTTTTCGTTTCTTATCAAGATGACAACTCCTCCACCTTAATCTCAACCCCCTACATTGCTTATGTCCAACATACAAGTACTGACTAAATGCTAGAATCTGACACAGGATTTCCCTTTGTGTATTTGGCATGTGTGTGTGTGAGGAACAAATGAAAGAAAGAAAGAGGCTGTGGGTGAAGGACAGAGGAATTGAAAATAAATCCGTGAGTGAACGGAGCTGAAGAGATTCGAGTTTGTGCCACTTTGAGCACACACTCTCTCACACACACACACACACCCTCATTCAATTTATAAAAAAAAAAAAGAGGAAAAAATGCATGGGCTTCCTTTCTAGAAAACATGTGCGCTCATGACCCCATTCAAGCCCAGGGGATGAGGTTAGTTAGGAATCTGTGTGTATTTACTTTGAAGCATTTCTAGACAATGGCCTTTTAGTATTCTACGTGAACATAAATTACCTTTTACCTTACAAGGTATATCTTTACATTGTCACTTTAAAGTGAGGCAGATGGGAGCCCACCATGAATCAGGTCCTGGCTTTTCCTGTTATTAAAAAGCCCCCCCCCCCAACTCCCACGAGGATTGTTAACTGTATTTTTGCAATGTTTGCTTTGCTAGTTCCTTGAAATGACTTGCTGGATATTAATATTCTGATCAGTGTGAATCCAATTAAATTGAGTTAAAGAGTCTGTCTGTGTGTCTATGCGTGTGTGTGTTTTCCGTAGGTATGCCAGTGAGGCTTGTGGGAGGAGAAAGCCCCAGGGAAGGTCGTGTTGAGCTCTACCTGTCTGGTCAGTGGGGGACTGTCTGTGATGATGGATGGACTGATCATGACGCTGAAGTGGTGTGCCGGCAGCTGGGCTACAGGTATTTATGTGTGCACACACATATAAATGGTTACAGCGTCTTTGGTAGCCAGGATAATGGGCTTAAAATACCCCCCTGGAGTGCAACAAAAGATTAACTTGCCATTTGAAGTTGTTTATTCCACACAGTCAATTTGAATAAGATGTTTACAGCTAAGCCACAGTTTGGTGATATGTGCAAGCCCTTTGCTTGAAAACAGACATAGTAGATACCTTTTTTTGTATATTGCAAATACTAGATTCAAAATGTGCTCCTCCTTGATGATCCCACAAGTGAGACTGAGGCAGAGCAACATCTGTTTGTCCTGGACAAACCGATGCTTTGTGTAGTATTTACTAATGCAGTGGTGTGTGAATTATCAGGAAGGAAGAGGAGCAGTCTTGGATGCCTTATTCATTTATTTTTTACCCCTTAACACCTGCATGAAAATGGCGTTGAGAGTATGTGGAAAACAGATTACATTGGAAAGTACAAAGAAACCCATTCACCATCACAGACACATCCATAAAACGTTGTAGTAAAGTGCCAAAAAGGCGGCCCTTTTTTTTTACAGTCGTAATGGAAGCACAGACATGCAGAAAAGGATGTGAGAGGGTGAAGGAGGTGTTTTTAATTGTGACTGATGGCTGCACACCCCCTGCTTAAAAGCAGCATCCTAAAAGCAGCCATAGTACAAAGACTCTAGAATCATTCAGGCCAAATGGTGGTTTTGGTGGAGCATCACACACTTCAACGAGTTCAAAAGACATGTCTGAGCCACCAGGTGATTGATCAATACTTCATGTCCACAATTTGTATCATTTAAATATTCATATCTTGCTACAAAGTACCTCTTTGCTAAAGTATGAAGTTCACACTGGATCTATGCGTCATATATATGGCAGTGTGTGTCTTAAAGCCCTGTTTCTGATCTGTTCAAGCTGTTTCTTTCAACTTTGCTTCATTTTGAGTTTTAGTCGGCGTCCTGAAAAAAGGAGATTTTCTGGTGGAGAAAAATCTTTGCTTTTGTTCTGAATTGTGGCTCTGAAATAGGATCTCTCTATACATTAGACCCACCTAAGTGAATCCAGACTCTGCCTACTGTGTTTGCAAAATCCATCACCACCTTTTAGACTTGGCATTTGTCTTGTGCTGAACCCCCCACTTCTCTGTCTGTCTCTCATCTGTAAATCTCTCTGTTTCCACTTTCGACTCTAGTCACACATATTGAGTTTTCTGGCTGAACCAAAATTTTAACATTTCGAATTAATCTGATTGCGCTACCTGTCTCGTTTTCCTCCTTTTTTTGTTCACTAAAGATTTAAACACTCGTCAGCACACTGCTTTGCTGCTCATTTATCTGTGCCCCTATACAGAGCCAAAATAAACATCCAGCTAAATAACTGGTTAGAGTGGAAAGGATACCTATTCTATGACAGATAAGTCAAGGTGAATTAAACAACATGTTTCTCATTATCTTTTCCTTCTGAGAGACTTTTTCAATGATGGCTAGGCAGTGCTTTATCAAAACATACTGTCTCATCACCCCTCAGAATAGGGTCCCTTGGCTACCCAGTTTTGTGCGACAGATTTGATGGAGATGAAATGAAAGCAACATCTGGAGTGCATAATTGAGGGAGAGTCGTAGAAGTGTGTAAAAGCCATGTTCAGAATAGTCATTTTGTGTCATGTAGGGTGCGGTGATGTCTTATTACAAATCAGCCCCTCCCCCGAAAAAGGACAAAGGTTTTTCTGATAGTCATAAAGCAAGATATGTGCTGCTTTAAACACATACTAACAAGCTTTGGCCAAAGCCAACAGCTTGTTCCAGAGTCACCTTAAGCTGAAACGCTAGCTAGATAGAAATGTCCTTCTTTTTGCTTGAAATTTTAAATTGTACATCAGTACATAAAAAAAAGTTAATCGTTTTAGGACATATCGACACACTTGTAAAATGTCCAAAGGACTTTTAAGTCTACCCTCTGTTTGCAAAGTATTGCTCTGGGAGCCATTGGAGAAACAGATATGACACGAGATGTCTTAGTAAAAGAAATGCGATTCCCTACAGATGACTGGCGTTACAGGACCTGTCACCTACTAAACACAAGGGATGAAATATTAGACCTCCTTCTTCAGTTATCTCTCAATCTTGATTAAAGTTACAGTCTGTGCATAAGCAGCCACAATCTACACGCCTGTCTGTGAGATATGTCTGGTAGTTCATGTCAGAGATGAGAAGGCGATTAAGCTGTTATCAGATTGTAAAGGTTTTTGACCTGGTTGACATCATTGCCTGACAATGTCAAACTGCAAAAGATGACTCTTCTTCAGCTCCTATTCCTCTGACATCTGTTTTGAAAGGTTTTTCTGGTGTCAGTTTTGTTGTTTTTTCCCTAGTTGGAAAAAAATAAATGGCTTCATTATCCTCCCCAGTGGCAATGCAAAGGCCCGTGTGATGGCCTACTTTGGGGAAGGGACAGGTCCAATCCATGTGGACAATGTGAAGTGCAATGGTGGGGAGCAGTCGCTAGCAGACTGTGTCAAACAGACGCCCGGCACGCACAACTGCCGCCACAGTGAGGACGCCGGGGTCATCTGTGACTATGGTGAAACACAGCAGAGCTACAAAGAGGTCAAAGGTCAGTTAACATTGCCAGGACTAGTGTGAACTTAATGTTCTCCTGAAAATGAGTAGAGCTTCTTTGATTTAATGAAGCATCACAGAAATGATCATGCTTTTAGTGAACTCTGCCAAAGTGTGCTCTATGAGAGACCAGTGAAATGGTAAGATGTTTAGCAGAAAGTATGGGACCAACTGTGTATATAAAACCAGATGTTGAAGTGGGAGAACAGTGTTATTGCTTCAACCTGTCTGTCACACATCAGGCTGACTCATACAGTGCTATCTATTACCTCCACATGTGCAACTGCCACCATTTCTTACATGAACATGCTCTAAGAATAAAGTCAGAGCAAACGTGTATTTTGCCTTTTCCCCAAGCACACTTTACCATCACAAACACTCAGACTCCGAAACCGATCTTTGATTTATTTACTTTTTCAACCATTTCTGGTTCACCTGTGGTTGTGAAATATCAGTTTCAGACAAGTTTTTGACTAGTCTAAATATTTAAGAGGTGCAACATCTGAGCTGAAATGTATGGTTTAGTCATCATCACCCTTCCACAAACTCTCACATATACATTACCAATTGTTCCTCCTTTGTCTCTGTTAGATCCTGTCAGCTCCATTTGTGGTCTGAGGCTCGTACACACTCGCCAGCGCCGAATCATTGGGGGAGAAAACTCTCTGAGGTTAGCCGGAGGGAACAGGGGAAATAAGTCAAGACCCAGCCTGTCACAAAATAACCACATTTCACATCAACGGTTTTGAGACGGAAAAGAGCTTCTTGAAAGCAACAAATTGAAATTCAACGTGGTTGTTTCTTGAATCTAAATTTGACTTTGAGTTTATCAAGAGAAAAATGCTACTCTTGTCATTGACTGTGAGATGATCAGCCACTCTGACATAAGTGCCAACTAGAATTGTTCTGTATATATATTGATCGCTGACTGCTCCTGTAAAAACTCTTGTAGTGTGGAGGGAGAAGCAGAGGCCAGCACGAATAAATCTCAAATCACCTTTCAAACCTAGCTGCCCTGAAGGAAAAAAGAAAAGACTGAAAAACGGAGTGCAAACTGCTGGCAATCTTATGCGTTTTATGACCTAAGACATACGTGTCACTTTCAATTCCTGTCCGTTTACGGTCAGTGAGAACAGCAACCCCGGTCTATATGCTCATGGAACAATTTGTTTTATGCTTCGCAGGATAGCAAGTATGCCAGAAGAGAAATCTTTACAGTTTTTGCTGTAAATGGTTTGACAGTAAATTTTAACTGTAATGAACCAGATATCCTTCTCTGGGGGAATGTACATTGCACAGTTTTTTTTACAAATCCTAAAGTGAAAATTATGTGTTTTCAACCCCCTTAAAGTCACTGGTTACGTAATATCATGGAAAAACTAAACCAGCACCACTAAACTAATTGAAAAGCAAGGGTAAGATGAAAGATTTCTGCAGCAAATCTGTTATCCAAATGAGAATCTGCTCCCTGCTCAACGCACGATTCAAGAGAGACAGAAGGAGACCAGTGTGTGCATGTTTAGAGTTATGTGTTTAGACTTTCCATCGCTTCATGTAAACTGATACTGCAGGGCATATTTTTGTTTACTGCCCTCCAAAAAAAAAAAAGAAAATGTTATAACCGCCATTTGTTTATGTTTCAGTTTAAGCAAATCCACATGCAATCGCCGAATGAGCTGAATTCACTCATGCTTGAATGTAGCGTTGTGGAATTTGGGCATTTGAGGAGATCTGTGCACTTTTATAATTTTTTGGGTTTTATTAATTGTGTTTTTATGTCAATAGGGGTGGCTGGCCATGGCAAGCAGCTATTCGTTTGCGTGGATCTAAAGGAGACGGGAGGCTGGTGTGTGGCGCAACTCTCATTGACACCTGTTGGGTTCTCACCTCTGCACACTGCTTCAAAAGGTCCAAAACACACATTTAAATATATAGTACACACACACACATACATATTTGATATTGTGCCAGAGTCGTGATGTTATTCATGTTATTATTGCATACATTTTTCCTGGCTTTTGTTTCAGACTTTATGGTGTTTAGTTCAAAGTTGATGCCTTTGTTTGAAGTCTGAACTCAACTTAAACTCAACTACATAACTTCAATACTATAACAATGTGTTTGGGTCTACCAGATGCATGGGGACCTTAAGAAAATGTTCACTGCTTTTAGTTTGGCTGTGGATAAAGAACAATTCATATGGAGAAATCACTTACATCATCTGGTGTTGGGGCCCATGTTGGCACCATCAACTTGACATTAGTCACTTAATACATTTAGTAAACATAGCAGAGTACAGAGAACGCCAACCACAGTCTGCAATTTTAAGATTTCCATGCATATTATTTTACTATTCTTTTTAGTTTGATAATAGAGCTGCAATTCCTTACAGCCTAGACCACTGTAATGTTTTCACAAAGGACTAATACTGCACCCCTTGGGGGGCGACCATTTTCAATGAATGATTTCAGTCTGTAATCATATTAGACAGAATGTTTTCATTTATATCCCATTCATATATGAGCAATTTAAAACAGCAGAAGCCAGTCTTAATCACAACTGCCTTCAACAAACTGGCATGAGGGACAATTTAAAAGATAGGTTTTATCCAAGGAAAGTTATTCTGAAATGGAGAAGCATGTAACAAATTAAAGAAAGTGTAAGTGAAAGAATGATAGATGTATTCTCTCCCTTTGGTTGAAACTGTAGTGTTACCACTTCCTTTCAGAGGACACATAATTAAACTGAGCTATTTGGGCAGGAATTAGCACTCCACTTTTCGTCTAATTATCCTGAACGTGGCATCCACGCTAAAACATGGATTTAGAAGCATCATGCTGAGGGAATGTTTGCCACTAGAAGTGCTGTGAAATTGCTGAACAATAAAGGAATACTGGATGTTGTCAAAACAGTTTTCTTAAGGAAAAACTATTTCTGTCTTCCACACAATTGAGTTTAAAATGGAAGTTCACCATTCAGAATTGCAATGACTCCAATCTTACAACTAAAGAATCCATCTTTCATGCTCCAAACTGTTTCAACTCTGACAGCTTTGAAGAGCATATTGCTGCGAAAAAGCCCGAGCAACTCAGGCCAAAGCAGGGGCATCCAAAATCACAGTGTCACCTTTCATGCGTGGTAAACAGAAAAAGTTACAACACACACAAGGAAACAAACAGCAACCTCTTATTTTTAAAAAAAGAGGCAGCATTTTTTATTAAGATGTACAATGATATACAGTATATATGACAAAAATAATTAATTGACCATCTCAAGATTCCAGATTAATATTTTCAGCACAGCCTGAGTCCTCTTAGACAACCTTTTTTGTAATATCTCTGGAATAGTTTTCCAGACTTTATGGAGGGCATTCCAAAACCCTCCTTTGGATGGTGGCTGCCTTTTGTTCAGTTTTTTCTGAGGATGATCACACAATGCTTCAGAAATGGTGTGGTCGGCGCCTTGGGAGGGATTAATCACTCACTATGACCTGCAGCCACTGATTTTCAGTCCATTTGGCATATCTCAGCATTTTCTTTCCCTTCATAAACAATGGCTTTTTGACAGCCATCCTTCCATGGAGGCCATTTCTACCGAGGCTTGAGGGAACAGCAGATGGATCAGATGCATTTTCAAGTCCTGGTTCAGGTTTTTGCTGGATTTATTCACATACATACTTACAGCCAAAGAGAACTACACTACATACACATAAACTACACACTGCACAAATTTTTGTAGTATGTAGAATGTGTAAAAGGATTTTTTTCCCCAGCTATTTTTTGCATGTTCAAGACCTGTTTATTGGTAGTTATAAGAAATGAGAGGTGCAATTAAAGCAGCATGTTTAATGCTTTGCAAATATTTGCAAGGTATAGAACAAACATAAATACAATTACGTGCTTGTGTCCATTAATGCTTTTTAAATTCACACCCAAGCTCTCTGATTCTGCTAGCAAGATCGTGTTACTTATTTCTTACCCTCTCATTAGTGTGTTAATAAAATTTGACCTCATGTCATTGCTCGCCTTCAGTTAACGCATTAAAGCTATTTATACCTTGTAACTGTTCAGTGTAGGGCTTGCCAGCAGTAATTAAACTTCTTTCAACTACATGGGAAATGTCAATTCCGATTTTCCTTTAGCTCAAGATCACGACTAGTTGTCTTATATTACTCCATAACCACTGTTGACTTTGTAAGTTGTGTGTGTGTGTGTGAAATCGCGTGCCCTTAAATGGCTGGTCAGCAGTGTCTTTGCTCTGCCAGAAATGCAGCGGCATTCACAAGTCAAGAGATCTTTCCGGAAACATTCTACCATGTGTAACTGGACACAGAGACTTGGCGCGATCGAAAGGCCTGGTTCTTTCACCCCTCTCCTCATCTTTCTCTAGCGTCAGTCTTTGTCCCCGACTCACCCCACTTGTCTCCCCACCTCTCTTACTTTCATGAAGACCAGACATGTCCAGCCAGTACATGGAAAGCATGAAAGAAAACACTTGTGCTATCTTAATAATAAACCTGTGAGTCACACTGAACAACACAGAGTGACACATTTATTTTTGTCATTACGGTCTCTTCTCAGTCTTGGTTCCAGTCTCATTGAGTTCAAACCTTGGAAGGATTGTATGATTCGTGAAATCCTCACTTACCAAAACTAATGTCAGTAATCAAAGAGAAATTGTCATCAGATGCATATTTGAACAATTCCTCAAGGAGTATTTAAACATGCTATATTCAAAGGTGTACGTTTATACTACAGTTAGTTTTACTACTGATTACAGTATTTATTCCTACAACTTGTACATGTATTGCATGTGCCTGAGGAATAGAGAGATTTATGAAACACACACACCCTGAGTTTCTTAAGACTTCTCTTTATTCCTCCCTTTGCAGGTATGGAAACAGCACCAAGCAGTATAAAGTAAGAGTGGGCGACTACCACTCCCTCGTCCCTGAGGAGTACGAAGAAGAGTTCGGTGTTGAGGAAATTGTCTTCCATCCAAGCTACCACTCCCACAGCAACGACTATGACCTGGCGCTGGTCCACCTGTCACCGGGGGCAATAGGCCAGACGCCAGGAGAGTGTGTGTCATTCAGCCGTCACGTCCTTCCCGCCTGCCTGCCCATGAGGAAAGAGAGAGTTCTCAAACAAGCCAGCAACTGTCACATTACCGGCTGGGGTGATACAGGTGACAGTGTGTGTGAGGGTGTGTGTGTTTGAGTTAAAACAAAATAACTTTATCAAATGAAATCAACTATCAATTTACAGTTGATGCCAAGGAAGCAATTTATTTAGAAAATGAAAAGTAAAATGCAACGATGATCAAATGCTTTAAAGAGTAGTGTGAAGGAAAAGAATTGGAAACATTGTCTGAAAGTAGGTTATACAGTTTCCAAAAACTGGCATTTGAACAATATTCTTAAATTTGACCGCAAAGTCAGAGATAGTGAAATTCAATCCCCCTCTAGTAAATTACACTTGTTCAACTTCATCTTCTGTGTATACTTACACTTTACCCCGCTTGCATACACACATCTGTTAGCAATCCTTCAATTACATTCTGATGTCATTAATCATAGCAACACAAGACCCGCAGAAGGTCACGCTTACACTATGCAAGAGCATGTTCTCCCTACTGAATGTGGGAGTGCTTTTTGATCTTTGTCATGCCAGTGTGGTATAAAATGTACAGGTTTGCGTGGGTGGATAGGCAGTCGCAGGTTTAAGCACTCTATTAGTTTCCATAATTGATGCAGCACAAGCTATTCAAAGTGTGTGATGTTTTTGCATCGGTTCTTTGACTGAAGGCAAGTTGTGTGTTTCATACAGCTACTTGTGTTTGAATTTCTGACTCTCTGATATCACACGTGTCAGCAAATATCCAGCGTGCACATCGCCCTTCACCACTGTGGATTGATGATGACACGGTGGGATCATGGAGACTCAGAAAAAGAAAGAAAGAAATATTCTTTGATGAAAAAAACGACTGGGCTGGATCAAAGAAAGCTGCTCTTTTAGTTTGCCAGAAACCTTGAAATTGATTCATCACTCAGTTCAAGGCATTGCAACACTGTGATGAATCAGCGACTCAGTGAACATGGCTCTAATGAACACTGGCTCACATCGTAAAATAAGAAATAAAAGTGGCATAAGTCATGCACTAGTAGGGCGCTTTTAGCTTCACATCCTAAAAAAAACAGTGTTATGTTTTGAACTATGATTGGCCCCCTGTTAGGCTCAAAGGGAAGCTGGCATGTGTGCATCTAGCTAACCAATTCTTTCAACTTCTTGCCTGTCATTGGTTAAAATCATGAGTTTGCATGCTTGTTTTTATAGTTTTCAAAGAATACTATATGGATCCTTTACGAAAGCTTAACACTGTATTCCCTTTGAAGTGGACCTTTATTTCATTGTACTGTAATGCTAAAAAACACACAAACTAAAATTGGTTGAACATTGGACGTAGATACGAGGTTTGATTCACAGTCCATCTTCAGACGCCTATAAGGCGTCGATGTGAAAGTACAATATATTGGTACAAAGCAGTTGCTACCTTACTGTAAACTTACGTGTGCTTTCCCATATAACTTCTGAACTCTTGCTTTTTTCAGGTCGCTCATACTCGAAGACCCTGCAGCAAGCCCCTCTGTCTCTTCTCCCCCGCCGCCACTGCCATCAGTATTTCCAGAGTGCCTTCACGAGCCGCATGCTCTGCGCCGGCAGCATCCAGCCAGAGAGGCGTGTGGACAGTTGCCGTGGCGACAGTGGAGGTCCACTAGTGTGTGAACGTCCAGGGGGGGGTTGGGTGGTTTACGGGGTCACATCCTGGGGTCATGCCTGCAGGACACAACAGTCTCCTGGTGTTTACACCAAAGTTTCTGCTTTCAGCTCTTGGATACGCAAAGTAATCGGACGTAATGAGAAAAAGCGATGACCAGTGACTGAAGCTGAAACAACTGACCACTCAAGGACAGTAAATGACTCTCGGGACTCTATGATTCAGATGACAACCAATGCAGCACTGTATCTCAGTCATGAATATACGATGTCACAACAAGACATGATTAGAAGGTGATGCAGCTATTAATCTGGCTTTCAGACGGAAAAGCTAAAAGGACAAAGACAAAAATGATCATCTAAATTCTTTTTATTTAAGTCTCTGCATTTACTCAAATCCTCAGCACTTAGAAGCTGCATATATGACAGTATTTAAAATCCACAGCTTAACTATCTATTTTTTATTTTAACATTGCTTTATAGATATTTTTAAAAATGTTTTCTGTGCTTGCTTTTGTTTTTATCTAAATTTTATTTATAATATGGAATGCGATATTGAAAGGGACCAAACACATGGAGGACAGTTGGTGCATGCACTCATGCATTGGGAGTAATCAATTGCATGACTGAATTTGCATACTTGCACTAAAACCCCCTCTTTGGTACTTTTACTGCATGATATTCAATGCCTCTGTGTTAGACATGGTAGTCATATTGACATTAGCTGAAGTGACATTGTCTCTAAAACTCATTTAATTCTTGTTTACGAGCATTTCCTTTGTTTTACTTTGTGCTGAGAGCAGGTTTCAGGTCTTAATAATTCTCAGGCTTTTTTACTTAATATGGCAAGTATAAGTTTTTCACAGTGTGTGGAGTGATGTTTGCATAGAAAAAAGTTTAATTGGAGCACAAAACAGTATTTTTGAGTACTTGATCATTGTCGGGTAATTCAGAGTTATCATGCTTTTGATAACAAGTAATGACACTTGAAGACTATGGAACCCAATACTTCATTCTCATTTGTTGTTTGTTTTGAGTTATGTTGTAATGAACTATAACGTTACCTTATATATAAAAATCATTTGTATTAAGTCAAAGTCTGTGTTGTTTTTATTCAAGACACATCTTTGATACATAATGGCATTAATTGTTTGTGGTTATGTATTGGGAATTTTGTTTCTCATTTCGTCAAATATCATTAAGTAACATCTCCTGGAGCTGCATAACTTTTTTTTTTTTTCCCTTTTTGTCTGACCACAAGCTGTCAAACAGAGCACTCCCATGTAAGAAAGTGTGTAAGCAAATACCTACGCACAGCTTATGTTGCACAGTGCAGACAGGAATTTACATGGCAAACAAAGTTGGACCAACTGTCAGAGAGAAAACCTGAATGACGGCTTTATGTAGACCTGGAAATATAGATGCATTTTGCATAGCTGTTACTGCTATTGTACTTCAAATCTTTATGTACTTCAAATGGATGTGAAAACATTTTAAATGTTATAATTTGACATGAATATTAAACTTATCTGTTACACACAGTTTTAAATTTAAGGTCTGGTCCCACAAACCGAAGGCTCTCTGGTCATTTCCTTGACAGAAATTAGACTGCAAAGTGGTTTTCATTGTATTATTAACTTAAAAAATAACTAAACTTAATTCTACTAAATAAACAGAGCATAAGTTATCTTTTTAAAAGTGCATACATACAGAATAAAGTAAAGCTTCAAAGAACTCTGTCAGATTTTTTACTCATATTGCTTTGGATGTAGGTTGCAAGTGATTTGATTTAATTTATGAAACAAATTGAGAGGGTTTATGAAGGGTTTGAGAGGTTTGGCGTTTGTATATATATATATATATATATATATACTCCTTTATTTATTATTTTATGTCTTTCTTTTACAATTAGCTTCCCCTGACATTTCTCCATCAGTACTCACATAAATCTAAAGGTGTTGACTTTTATGATACATATGCACACAACATTAGCAAAAACTGCATGTGAATATCTTTGCAAGTCAACATGACTCCGATAAGAAGCAGGCTCTGTTAAGCCTGCAAAAGCTCTACTGCTAAACTGCCTTCGGGCGCCACCCTGTGGTCAGTAGTGCACATAACAAAAATAAACTATATAGAATGATGACATTTTATAATCTTGGCGAGTTATAAAACATTATTAATTTAATGCCATGTGTCTGCTCTTCCTTGAGAAGTTGGAATGAAAAATATGTATTAATTATTAAAATTCACAGCTACGATGTTAAGGGTCAGCTCTTTAGCCAACGGTGATTATTGTTTTTTAAAGGAAACAGTTTCAACAGTACCCCAGTCTACATGTAACAGCTTTAGTTATTTTGCCTTTTACTTGAAATTAAACAAAAATAACACCACCACAAATTATTTTTACAGTATCAAAAGTAAGAAATGCCAAATAGGCTCTTTTTCAGAATAATACATTTATTGAATAATAATGCTGTTTATTAATGTATACATTATCTTTTTATTAATAGTATGGAGGGAATTTTGTACTTTATACTGTATATGTCTGTTTTACTTGTCCAGTGGATGAACAAACTCTTAACATGTATTATTTAACAATACATCAATTATTAGTTATTTTTTGTTTTTTGGGATTATTGTAAAACATGATAAGTCTCATGTGTGTAACATTAACTTACCTTTGAGGTAAAACAGTCTGCAGACAACCAGAAGAATAAATGTAACCTCATTAAGGTATGCAAGGGAGACCCTGAATTGTTGCTAACAAGTTTTTGGATATTCATCGATAAAAATAAAAAAAAGGAAATCCAGTCATATCCAGTCCTTTAATTTTGGTTTTTGTGTTTGACATGTAGGGTTCTTCGCATCTAAACAGAAGCTAAACAAAGTAAAATACCATTTAAAAAGGTAAAAAAGGTAGGTTGGGACTTAAATGAGACACAGAAAAAAACATAACTTACCTGCAGCTTAAACTGCAACTAAACAGTTTTAATAATCTCAAAATCAAACATGATATCCACAAGGCAGATCTTGTTTGGTTTAATAAACTTGCATCTTTTCGATTTGTTTGAACTCAGATAGCCGTCTCAGATACAAAGTTGTTTTGCATTACTGGCCTGGGTAATTACAGTCTGATGGGGCAAGGCTATTTGCTTGGGTTAAACATTTGTATTCCAAACCTTCCAGTAAAAGTGTCAAGGGCATACAAATCTACCAGAACTTCAAGCAATACTTAGACTTGAAGAAAATCTAGAAAACAAGAACAGCCAGTCATTCAGCGAAAGTTCATGCACCCCTTGTATTATGTTTTGAAATTCCGTCCCAATGTGACCATTTTTTTTGTAAAAATAATCAAATAAAAAAGTAAAGATACTTTCAAATCTGGGTAAAAAAAAACACACAAAACAGATGAATGTCTTGTAAGTTTAAAAAAAAAAAAACAGTGCAAAGTAATTTCTATGGGAACCACGCACAGCTGACCAGCGCTGCTCTGGCAACATAACTTAAAGAAGAAAAATAAAACAAAAGTCAGTAACAATTAAAGTCGGTGCAGATCCGCACGTCAGTTCAGAACCGGGTTGGGCAATCGAGGACACACCAGAACCTCAGTGCCTCCGTTAAGAGTTTGTTGTTAGATTGTGACGCTTTGTTTCTGTCCCGTTCCCTTTCAAGCTGTCCGCGTCATCGTAGCAACCATCCATCCATCCAGCATTCTTTCATCCGTCCATGATGGTTCGCTTGCGCTATTTTGCTCCGTTCAGCAGCGTTACAGCTCACAGGATGAAACGAGGCATCCCGTCCTCATCTTCACCTCGGGGCTGCAGACACTGCGCCCGAAAGACAGGCGCTCCTGGTCCCTGACGTCTTGATATTTAACCCTGGCTCATGGACGCAAAGGTTATCTAACCTTCAGAAAGTGTTGGAGAGGGAGGGGTCGGAGAGGTGGAAAAGAGACGAGGGGGAAAAAAAACAGGACAAAGAAATTTAATTTCACTTCTGTTTATGTATTGATTAAAATGCCAACCGTGGAAATAGAAAGAGGACATTCTCTGAATTCAGTGAATGGACTGGAAAATCTAACCAGACATGTCAAGAAGCTCTCCATGATTCATCTGAATGATTCATCGATTCCACAAACAAAAAGATTAATAATTTCTATCCCTACAGAAGAAAAAGACTTTGCAGACTTTGCTGTTATGGTTCATGGGTTTTGCTATGCTATTTGTTTCTGCGTTATATTATTAATCTCACTCTTTGGAGTTCATCTTTGTTCCTTTTTTTGGCAGCTTTTATAAAGTTTCCCTTACGCTGTAATGGTTTAGTGCAGGCCTGCTTATTATTTCTGTAAATCAATTTGTTTTGTTGTTCATTGTTCATTTTTCTCATTTTGCAGATAGTAAGTTTACTAGTTTAGCCTCCTGTCCATATTACCCAGCAGTATAGCTTTCACTAATTGCAAAAAAATCTGGCTCACATTCTCCCTCTGTACTATTTGCCTCTTTCTTTTCTGTTTTCATTTAACAATGTTTGTTATTGTTACCCCCTTATGTCGTGTTTGGACTTGATCTTTTTTTTCCTTTTGATTTTCCTCTATTAGTTAAATGATTTCACATAAATCATTCTTAAGCTCTGTGTCTTGCCTGCTGCCTGTGTTCCAAATGTAGGTCCTCACGAGGCTTCACGCATGACCACGGTGAGACTTTCCCCTGTGTTTAGCGATGCTTTTGAGAGGATCAGGATGTGATCAAGTTGGAAAGACTATTTTCTTTATTTCAAATCCAGCTAGAAGAATTTGAAATAATCTATTCTTAACAATAATAACTGCAACTCTACCTGATCATTTTTTATATTATTTTATGCATAACTGTTTGAAAAATAATTATTTTGCTAAAGAGTAGAAAGTTATAATAGGGAATTTGTTTTAAACAATATAATCCTTTTGGGAAAAAAAATATTATGCCACACTGTTGCTTATTCAACCTAACCCATTCAGCCTAACCCATGGTAAGAATGAGAAGCTTGAGGAACCCACTGACTGTAACCCAAGCGCAACAGAATTTAAACCAAAACTTGACAAAGAGAGTAGATTTCTCTAAGGAAACCAGAATATCGCCCGTTCTGCCATAGCCTATTTCTTTTTCAGATGCCTTGCTGCATTCGAGATCGAGTCACTGAATGCATAACCTTTAAATGACAGGACATATGATGTGTGGCGGTGAGATGACATGCCGCTGACCTTCTGTAGCTCCTCTCTTAGCCAAGCGGGAAGAGGCTGTCCGAGCCGATGCAGCAGCTTTGAAAGCTCCACATTGTGGTCTCTGTAGTACCTGGAGAGATACGCCCGTGCCTGAAGAGCATCAGCACAACAGAGATGGAGGGAGTGGAAGGAAAATGCATGACAGACACACCGGTGGGGAAATGAGGGAGTAGGAAAGGGGAACAAGAGGAGTAAATTTAGAAAAGAGGAGAAAAGACACAAAGTATTGAATTAGAACAGACTGATAAATAAAAAAAACAGAGATTATTGATTATTGATGTCAGTTTTCTTTTCAACATTTTAGGGCCACTGAATGTTGTGTGACGTAAAGAGCTAACAACTCTGTTTCCACCTCTTTTTCCTCACCTTAATACACTTCAATCTATTGTCCTCCTCTTTGGGCTTCTCACTCTGCCTCTTTGATTAAAATGTATTTCAATTACAGATGCCGCAGAGGTGCTGACATTAGCCATGAGTGAGCACATGCATGGAAACAGATGGTATCTATGAGTGTGTCTTCACAAAGGGGTGAATGTGTGATGGTTCGCCTGCAGGTACTTAGAGTTTCCTCTTACTGACACATTCCTAATCTGCTGCATTTCCAGTCAAAGCCTCTCTATTATAGGTCCTGAGCCTTGATAACTAGCCTGTCATTTCCTGACTGGACCTGACAACTGAGTTCTATTTCAATATTGTCAGTCAAACACTGGATCTTACATTTATATTGGTTTCATGATCACTTTATCGTTTGGGTAATCATCTTTCTCTCTGGATAAACCAGCATTAATTCAAACTAATCAAGTTTACCTCGGGCTCCATGGGAGGGTACTTTCTTCCTTTGCTTTTTCCCAAACATTTAGTCTTTCCACCCTCAAGAAGCTGGCACCAAAAGCCCTTCTGTGGGTCAAAGCTGAAAGAGAAAGAAAGCAGAAAGTAGAAGAGTCATTCAAAAATGCAAAACTAAATGAACAGAGAAAAACAAATTAACAAAAAGAAAATCTACTCAAAATCAGATTCAACCGATTTTCAAAGAGTGTGGGTATATATACTGTATAAGGTTCAAGATTTAGTGGGAAATCCAGCTCTAAGGTGACCAGCTTTGAGCACAAAATGGACAACGTTAATGACGGAGGTAAAACTCCACCAACCCAACACGAGCAAGAAGTCTCGTCATGTCTCTCACAGCTACAAGTTAGTTAATTTCCAATTTTTTAGGAGCAAAAACTTCTCAGCTGAATACTTAATATAAAACCAATTAGATGACGACCAACTCATTAAATGTATCAAACACAATGTCAAGTTCCCATAGTGACTGACCAAAGATGCATTGTTTTTAATACAAAGATCCATTTTGCACATGAAAATTCAACATGTGCTGTTGCCTGCTTGCCAGTCTGTGTCACGACCTCAACAATAAACATGCTAAAGAAATGTATGGATAAAGTTTGATCAGACATATTCTCATATTTGCGGCCAAAGGATGAAGTTTACAATCACAGTGTGGACTGTGAGATGTTGTAGTGAACATGAAAGCTTTTCTCAAAACACTTCAGTTCATCCTCACATTCACCTTAGCATACTTTGAACAAATTAAGCTTTTAAAATGCAGTTACCACCACTGAAAAACGGTTCCTTGCTCAAATCTTCCATTGAGAATTAACAGGCTTACAAAATAAATACACTCACAGTTTACCAGAGCTCAAAAATGTTTATAAGTGTTTCATCTTTTATGAACTGGATCTGAAAAGGGGTCAAACCTGACTGAATTGTTGCACATTAATCATTCTTTTGGATTTTATCAGTATCTAGGAGGCTTATGTGCTGAACTGTCATAAGCGCTCCCTCTCAGTTCAGACACACAGAAGCTTCAGATGTGTTTGTTGGAAATTATGCTGTGTGGGAAGAAAAGTACAATTGTGAGGTATTATGTATTCCAGTTTGCATTGAGCCCGATGAGCTACATGGGCTCATTTTTTGTGCAGTACAAGACATTGTGAGTTAGGGTTGGGGTTACCTTAACCCTTATACTAATCTCTAAGTATATTAAAGGCGTTTCTTCATTTAAAGGCATGAGAGAAAAATATGGGACTGATTAAAAAGAGTAGGGATTAGAAAACATGGTTCCCAAAACAAAAAATTCCACAATGGAGCGAGTTTGCCATGTATGTGATTAAATCACATTTTATGATTCACTTTGAAAAAATTAACAAATGCAAATCAGAATTTCTTTAAACAAACGCTGTGGTTTATGTGTGTCAGATACAATGAATATGTGTATGAATCATATTTACTTTGACTTACATGTACATTGGGATATCTAGCAAAACTGTATACATTATATACTTATTTTACAATTGGAATTTATGAGAATGCATTTATGGAGCTTGCGCCTTCCTTTAATTTCCAAAAAGCATTTCTTTTTGGAATAAAAAAACCCTACACATTTGAATTTAAATTTTATTTTTTTAAATATATTTATCAATATGAATCATCCCTTTTATGAATAAATACTGCATTACCTGCATGCATCAGTAAATGAAATAAAGGATACTGCTCTGTCTGACAGAGCAGGTGGATGATAAGAGAGGGGATTAAATAGAAAGGCTTATGTTCAAATGATCTGTCAGCGTAGAGCAATGTAAAATAAATTAAAACAAGAAACAAAAGATTAGGCTTTTGTGCAGTTCAGTCTGCGGCCAAAACACTGCATGTCCTTATCATTCTGTCAAAATGCATCCCTTTACAAACTATTTGTATGCATTTGGGTGTCTGATTCAAGACAGGGGCACCCTCTGTCCCAATCTTAGCATCAAATTTCTCGATGTCTCCTTCTGGGGGTTTGAGGGCTCGCAAGCTGATTGCATTCTGACAAGTGGTGCTTGAGAAATAAACACTTTATCGCTCCGTCAAACTGTAAAGGTCACATGTAACATCTCTAATGAAGGATGAGTTGAAAACAGAGAACGAATTGGATAAGATTCTCCTTGTCCTTTTAAAAGAGTCTATAGAATATGGCTGTAATTTAACAAACTACTTATACTATATAAAAGAGTAATATATATTCAACAGCAAATATTTTCTGAATCATATTCAGTTTAATGACCATAAAAGCGTGAACAATATATACAGATGTCCTTAAAGATTAAATAATGTTTTTTCAAACACACAATTTTTTTAGTTATCTGTATACATCAATAATCTTCTCCAAAGAGACTGATCAATAGAATTTCAAGTAGATAAAGGCTTTACCTTACAAAGGAAGTGATATACTTAGCTTATCTACTTATTTCATTAAAAACTCAGAACAAGTCAAATCTTAGTTAGGTCTCTTCATAGTTTAAACAGCCACGTGGTATCTCGTGTAATAATGTGATATCTTTTGTAATAGTTGCAACATCACATACAGTGTATAACTTGAAAGTGGGATATGTAGACGACAGCGAGATGTTTTCGTAATTCTGTGTCCACCAGTAGATGTCAGGCTTTCCACAGATTTAGACTCAGAGGCACGTTAGCGGTTTAATGTGGAATGACTGTGTACCCCACAGTGAGTGCCAGGTGAGAGGAGCCATGCTCTGTGAGACACTTACGTGAGGGCCTGCGAGTAGTTGAAGTGAGGAGTGACGCCCAGGAACTTCTGTAGTTCGTCCATCACGGCTGCGGGGTCGGCTCTCAGTTGATGCCCGTCGATAATCATCACCTGCACACAGATACGGCCATGCAGTGAGGACAGGAACCATCAGCAGGCTGCTTAGTCCCTCAAGCATGCAAAGCAGAGCGGGCAAAATCATGACATGATTGCATAGCCCTGTTTTTGTTCCTATGCATACCTGGTTAGCGGGATAGTACGTCAGCCACCTCTCTAAGTGTGCAGCGTACAGACCGGGGATGAGACAGCGGTTCTGCAGGGAGCGCAGCTCCGGAGGTGCTCCCTTTCTTGCACTGATGACATCATAGAAGGTGAACTGCAGGGCTGCGTGGTCTTCGTGAGCTCTCTGGTGCTGGAGAGTGTTCAGAGCAACTCAATAAATTTCTCGACATGAGAGAGATTGTTTGTGTTGTTTTTGTCTTTTTTTTTTTGTGGAAAATGACAACTGACTCCACTATGCTTGCTGTTGACATTTGAAACCAGATGAAACAAGCTTTAGCAAGAAATGCCAGCCTCTTGCAACATATCCTTTATTAAAATGTATTGAACTAAGTATACAACACGTCAGCTGTAGATATCTAAACATCATTTCAGACAAATAACTAGAATAAATTACATCAGTACAGACACTTGGAAACATCTCATTGTGAGTGCCAGGTGAGAGGAGATATATGTTGTAGAGTTAGAAATAACAGTAATGCAGACACGAGCATCACACGTTTCGACTGTGCGTGTGTTCCCTACACTCACCTGATACCAACTGTAGGCTCTGTCTGAAGGGTTGATGAGCAGGGTGATGATCTTTGCCTTGGGGAGCAGGGCAGCCGCTCGTCTTGGGGTCTCCTCAGAGGGGAAGTAGTTGGCGCTCTTCTCAAACAAGAAGTCTGTGCTGATATTGGAGGGTACGGGGAAAAACTCCATGTACCTGAGGCAAAAAAGACGCACACTCAATATTCATACCTCATGCACAGACACTTATGATCACCGCAAACTCACATTTTTCTCAAAGTCAGATGCACTTTTTTAATATGCACTTAAACAGACATGGCATAAACTTGATTATATAGTTGGAAGAGTGTTTATTGAAAAGATTTCAGAGTCAAGTATTTATAGGTGACTGCCATATGCACCAGCTGGGTCACTGTCAGCTAAGTAACCCTTTTATGACTCAATTTAGGCAGCCATATGCCTGTTGGCTTATATTTGCTGTCTTATAGGATCCTTTTGAGGATATTGCTGAGCTGTGTTGAGCTGCTTAATGTGTCACTGAAGAGTGCAAGACATACAACAGCCAACAACAAGCTCACAAAATGAAAAAAAAAGTTGTAATCTTTCAGGCACTGACTATTAAAAGGAAAAGGCAGTTGAAGTGGGAGCTCGTCCTACCAGTCAATTCCTTTGTGGTAGTTGTTGGTGTTGAAGAACTGGACCTCCTCGTAGGTCTTTGGACTGGGGAAGTTACTTGAGATGGAGGGATGCATGAGTAGGAAGAGATAAAGTGCTGTCGTTCCTGGAATAAAGGGCATAATTCATAACTGGTTGGTCTCAGCAGAGGGAGGTCTGCATGTGTGTGTGCATTTCTTTGTCTGAAAGCATTCTTATAAGGATCCTTGCTGGAAGATTTACCCCATGTTAGATCACTATTTATTCATATGTTGCGTAAACTACACCATATCAGTGTGTACACTTGTGTGTGAGTATGCAGGCACGCAAAGATCATATGCCTCTTTTATCAAATCATCAGAAACCATCTGACACCAATCAGCAGTGTGGCCAGGTTCTGGCCTCTGTCTCACCCTCAGCAGCACTCTCCTCACCCAGCTGCCCTCGCACTTTCCTCTGGCATGCCTTCTAATAAAATGAGAACGTATAGTAATCTAATTGTTGTTGGGCTGCTAATGTTGCTATAACAACCTCTCCCTCCATTTGGGAGATTATCGCCCAGTTAATTAGCAGCTATGCCGGACCTCCTCACCTCTCATTCAAAATGGCAGCAATTACAATTCCAGCAATCACACAGGGGCAGCTATGAGGACCTGAGTAGGTGTAAATATTTTTAACAAGCTTCCCTCTTTTTCAGTCTCTTTGATGGAGACAGAGTGAGAGAAAAAGAAAGACATACACCTTGCTATCTCAGTGCTGTATCTCTGTGCTTCAAAAGAAGACAGCATGTGGGTGGAAGAAAGGAGGTAAGGGCCTCCTCTTTTGTCTCCCTCCGACAGGGGTAAAGGAGTGAAGGGGATTACATGAAAAGGCTCTGATGTAGACACCTGTGCACACACTGGGAGTCTCTGTTTTTTTTCCTGTGCATGTCCGAGCGTGTGTATCACCTGTTTTCTGTGGTCCTACAACCATGAATTTGGGTAATCTGTCGCAGGTTTTCTCTTTGGACCAGATGTCTTTATGTCGTTTGTCATCACATGGGTTCTGCAAAGGCATGAAGTGGCATTCACGAACATTTAGAAAAAGCAAACAAGCCTGACGTCAGAGATAATTTATTACAGGGATCGTTCACAGATTGTTGCAAAGAACTGATGAGTGAAGCTTTAAATGCTATTCTCAGCAACTGCTTGCTTTGAAAACACAGGACAAAAAATCACTCCTGCTGCATATGTGTACTCAAACTAGACAAAAAGAGACCAAAAGCAGGCTGCAGCTTTTAGGGGCAAATCTTCAGAATATGCAATTCTAAATCTACAACTTAACTCATTGATAACTATCAGAAATACATGAGAATAGCAGAGAAAAGCAATCAATCAATACTACTATTGATTGTCTGAGAGAGAGTTATATATAAATATAACATTTTCCATTCCAAGAATACCTTATTACACCAAAAAACACAAATGAAACTATTATGGGTGGAAACACACAATCACAAGCCTGTACATGTGGACGTGTTTACTTGCAAACACACCTGCCAGAGTGGATTCCGTTGTTCGGGAAAAAGCTGGAAGTACTTGTGCGCAAGCTGGAGGGGCGGGAGCGTGTGGAGTTTCAGATTTGTCCATGAGCGAAGGAAGGAGGCCAGGTGGACGAACGTGTAAAGACCCAGTCGATCGTTACCATAGTTAGACAGGTGGGTCATGAATATACTTATCTGCAGTGAAAAAACACAGAGAGAAGAGGACAAGAATGCAATTAAAGGAGGAGCGAAAGGCATCCACTTTGAGCCCAGCTCCCAGTTCCCAAGTTCCTGCAACTTCAGTGGAAGATAAACAGATTATTTTTCAGTGTGGTTAATGTTCCAATGAGGGCAGCTTGCCTCTGACTATCAATATAGGCTATCAGTCATTTTTGTAAGCGATGGTATTACGCTAACTTTCAGTGCAACACATTTTCAAGTACAAAAAGGTAAAGAGATAAACTAAAACTGATGTATTCTCCGCTCCTGGTAGATAAAGCTGAGGAGGACGCACAAAACTCCTCAGAGTCCTCACTGGGTGATGGGGGAGATGTGGCTACACACCAGAGAGTGTGTTCGTGATGGTTACTGTGTGTGAGGAAGAAGGAGACACTCAGTGGGAGCGAAGGAGCGATAGTGTGTTGGTTTGGGCTATCTGTCCATGCCTCAGTGCTTTTATGGGCTGATCAAAGAGACGGGCTAAGAAAGCTGCTACAGACAAATGCACACTGACGCACACACGCTTGTGTCTATACTTCTTTTGTGGTTGCACAGAGCTAGGGGAGTCTGGGTAAAACGTTAACATCAGCCATTACGATATGAATTATTTCTTGAATGTGAGGATGTGTGCCCGTATGTGCATGAGTGAGTTTCAGTGTGCAGCCGATGTTTATGAACGCGAGTACATCTACAAACATAAACGAGTCGCATTCATTTTGGCTCATCCCAGCCCTTACATTAGCTAGCCTAATGTGGTCTTAAAACCAAGTCGTTATATTTAGATTTTAGCATTGATCTTTATTGGGAGATTTTTCTGGATAAAAAGGCTAATGCCTCCACTGCGCAACAGAAGTACAGAAAAATAGTCAAGCACTCATTCAGACATACAGAGTGAATTTCCTGGTGACAAAGAACTGTCAGTGCTCCGCTTTAAATGCAAAGGTTGCTGGAGATACAGAGAGACACTGTCGGGGCTTGATGGATCAGCGTCCGGCTGACCTGGAAAGGGGTTCAGAATACTGATTAGGAGTGAATGCTGATGGGAATTTGTTGGTGTGTGAGTGTGCACAAAACTGCCACAGGGCAAAAGAGGAACAGAGGCATGTGGCCTTTTTATTTTAATTAGATTTTTTCTACTCAGACAAAGGCGAAAACAGGGGTACACATGCCATTTTTTTTGCACATGTAAACAGGAATGTTTATATGTTAGCACATATGCCATCGGAGTTTGGTGCATGTGCAATCGAGCCGTGCAGCATTCGGGCTTGCCTGTTTGGTATCAATCAAGCTGATGTAAGAGTAACAATGTGGAACCAATGTAGAGGCACAGCCAAACACTGGGGCAGGAACATTAGACAGACATGCCAGCAAAAGCAGTCTGCCTACCGCTCCTTTCCAGTAAATGCTTAAGTCAAAACTACAGACCTTTCTTTTTCAGAATGAAAAAGTAGAGTAGAGCTGGAGACATCCATTCAAGTTAATGATTGAGAGGACATATTTACCCCAGGTAATGCCAGTAAAAGAGAGACAATGCTAACATAAACTGCATAAAGAGAAAGCAGGAAATCTGACCTGGGTGTACAGGAACCCTTTTTACACTGTGTTTTTTTGAGGGCTTTTTGGAGGCATGTGATCAAAAAGTGATTTATGTTCCCTTCAAACCACTCAATAGCCTATGATGTCTGACTGAGGCTGCGAAGGAACAGGTTGCACTGTATGCCAGGATTTGTGTGTGTGTGTGTGTGTGTGTGTGTGTGTGTATGTGTGTGTGAGAGAGATGTTTCTGCAGGTATATGTGGATGAAAGACAAAGTACAACAGAGGAACAGTCAGGGTATGACTGAACGTGGAAATATTCATTGTGAGGTTTAAGGACTCAGGGCCAAATTACACAAAAGGAAAATTGTTTTGTGTTTGTAATAGTGGGAAAGTAGAACAGAAAAAAAGAAAAAGTACAGAGATAGGGCTACAGAGAGTAACCTTGGTAGGTATGTGTAAATTAAAAACCCAAAACGCCACTTGAGAGAATGTTAATCTCCCGACAGCGCAAACTCTAAACCCTCATGATGGAGTCTGTTAACGATTCCATCTAAAACCTTTCTCTATGTCTAATGCCATTCATTTCTTTAATATATGATTGCATAGGGTTGTGACTTAAATTAAAAATACTGTGCTCACATATAATTTAATCCCAGAACTGGATCCAGGTGATGCTTGGAACTGGACTGAGAAAAAATGCAAAATTACTCCTATGGAGTGTAATGCCATTCCTCCACTTGTGTCTGTTTATGTATGGGTTTCACTTGCATCTCCACAAAGTCATTTCATGTTTTTTTTTCTTTTAATCTATTCAGTTACCTTTTCATTTTTGAGTTATTTTCTTTTCTCCTCTCTGGCCCCATGTTAACCCAGATACACTAATGAAACTTGTCAGTTCAAAATGCAGGGATGTTTTCCAAAGTACATGCATACAAGAACACACACAATTACAGAAAAACGCACATGATGGCACAAATGCCATGTCTTGTCAGATTTAGAGAACATGGTGTATCAGTCATGTATTAGAGTTTGTGACAAGTTTCAATCACTTCCAATAAGATTGCATTCATAAGAAGAATTACTTGTGTCGCTAGATTTTAGTTCTCTCTATCTTTTGGTCGACTATCTATCTATCTATCTATCTATCTATCTATCTATCTATCTATCTA